CCCATGCAAGGGAGTTCCTTCTGACTTAGCATTTTAACCAGGGAAAATTAGCGGCATATTCTTTCCCATGTTACTTCCTGCTGACTTTGGGACAAAGTTAGGGACCCCAGAAGGTTGAAATGCTAGTCAAAAGCAAAAAAAAAGGAATTTAGGCAATGGGGAATCCATCAGGGGCTGTTGGCAGACTCTGTTGCAGAGACAGGGGGTGTACACATCAGCTGGACTGGTTCACATCCACAGCAAGTCCAGGGCTCACAGTCTACTTAGAACAGCCTGCAGTCAGCAACTGATACTCAGATGTCTACCAGAAGCAGAAACCTGTTTAAGACATGTTTAAACTAGGAACAAAGGTTAAAACTTATTTACTGAAGCCCACAGTGCAGAAAAAGCAGATATCTGATTATCTGTCCAAACAGCAGGAACATATTTATAACTTTGAGTCCTAGCAAAAACTACAGATGTGGGCTAGAAGCATGTATATTTTCTTCTGTCCAGAGAGCCAGGTATGGATTGGACAGAGGTGCCTTTGGCCTGATGAAAAGCCCTTTAAGTTTATACTTAGATGACAACCAAAATAAACTTAAAAACCTTGAACTTGTGACTGAACAGTAGATAGCTATTAGTTTATCGGCTAACATGCTGACTATAGCCTATAGTGGATCTGACTGTCTGATGCTGTCAAGCTGACAACCATTAATATTTCAGAGATCTGAGAAGGGTATATTTTATCCGAATCTACTAAAAAGTGACAGAAGCCAGTTAGAAGCCAGTCCATATACAGTTAGCCATACACAAGTCTCTCCATTACCGCTGGAGGCAGATGTCTCAAAGAACAGCAATCTTTGCCAGGCCTATAAGGTGAGAGGTGTTTTTCCTCTCTGTGGAAGAGGGACATGGAAAAGACTGACCTTGTTTTGTCTAGGCAAAGCGGGTGCAATCAATTTTCCAGTGTCCAGCAGTTTTGTCCACAGTCTCATTTTTCCACACAAATGAGGTTTGAAGTTTTCGGGTTTAGTTTCAGATCCACGAGGGATCTTTGGGGTTTTGTACCCTATTACTTTCCATAGACTGGTGCATTCGTTTCCAAGACCTACAGTGGTCTTTTTGAATGTTGTGCTGCTTGGACTCTGGTGTCCTGTTGGTTTCACACAACTTTCTGCCTCACTCACGGAGAAAAAGTCACTTCTGCTGGTAGAAGTGTGCTTATGGTAGCTGCCATCTTGGCCATGTGGCTTAGCCTGGGGACTGCCAAGTTCACCACACGACCTAGCTGTAGGCATGCCCACTCCAGCTGCTTGTGCTGGCAAACCCAGCTGTCAGATCTTTTTTGCTTATTTTTTTTTGTCTCTGATTTCTTCTTTCACTGGCCCTGTTTTGCATGGCTCATTTGTGGAATACTGTGCCTTTCCATGGCTCCCTGTTCTATCTGTAGTGTGTCTGTCTTCTTGTCACTGGCAGTTTAAGTCTACTGTCCCTTTAAATCTCCTGTCTACAATGTGCAGATCAGAAATTGCATTCTGGTTCCCCCTTTTACCCTTATCCAGTCCTTCTTATCTCTGTACATGTAATTTAAATTTAACTTTATACTTAGATAACTCTATATACAACTTAAATTTAACTGATGTATCTTTAAATGATAATGAACATCTAGAATCATACAGGTCTATTTCAAGTTAACAAGATATTTATACCACTCAGTCCATCCTGTAAGCTGTTTACAAAGGTACAGCTTTTTATTATAAAAGGGGATTTTTTTTCTAACTAAAGGCAAATTTTTGATTGCTGAGATATTAAATAGACAGATAGCCCTCAAATGCTCAGAGACCTAGAGAACATGGCATATAAAATGTTTTATTAAAAACTTTTTATAACATAGAGACAGGCCAGCTGCTGGCGCCACCCCATTTCCTCCAAGAAGACTGGTGGGCACTGAAGAAAGTCCATCTCACTTTAGTGGCAACGCTAGTCACTGAGCAACCCTGCTCTTCACTTCAACTGCTGCAAAGGACTCTTTGGACCATGGACAACAGGACAGTGGAATCAACTTTACCCACATTGCTTGGGTCAACAGTAGGTGAGTCTTTGTATAGTTCCCAATTCACAGGCTCCATGCTTTCAGCAGGAGGCAGGTGTCCTGCAGCCCACAACCATGGATGGAGGACCTTGGGGTGCCTGTCTATGCAGCCTGCTGACAAGCCTCTGTTATTCTTTAATCATTAATTCAGGTAAAATCTTATTCTTCTCAAGAACTCTGATGCTTTTGACGACCTGTAGTCTGGCCAGCTTAAAGTTCTACAATACAACTACACAATCATAACTACAAGGTCAAGATTAAGATGCTTTTCATTGCCCTAAAAATATCTGTCAACTTAAAAATGTTAATGCTTTCAGCCAAGTTGCTTATAGCATGAATATGCTGCTAATGTGTGTCTAATATTTATGTTTTCACAAACTCTAAGGATTCTTGTAAGTTTCAGGGAGCCGAATCAGATCCAAACAAACAGATCAGATTCACTCCAAATAAATATTATTCAATCTTTCCCTGGTCCCAGGACTTCCTTCCCTCATGTTAGGACTCCTCAGGAACCCCTCCCTCATCTTACAATCTTCCCCTCAATTACCAGGACCTAAAGAAAAGTAAGAAAATTTTTTTTTCTTCCAAACTTAGCCTTGTCCTCTACTCTGTCAACATCTTGCCAGGTCTAAAGAGGTGCCAGAGTTCCTAACAGCCTGAACTAAGATGAAACAACCAGCTACCCCAGGACGTGGCAGCATCCCAGCTTTCTCAGGACCCCCAAAGATGGTGAATACCCCCAAGGTCAGCAGGAAGCAGCCTTGAGAACTCTACGTCCCCGTTCCCTAACCTGCCACACCCAACTCTCCACCTTTTATGATAAACAAGAGTCGGGATTGTTAGGACTGACACAAGGCTTACGCCACCCCCTGATGACTGATGGGGCACACACAGGGACGAGCTATGCCATCACCATATCACTTGTCACGCATTACAGACCTGTGTGAGGACAATGCCCATGGGTGGAACCTCAGTGAGCATGTGGGTCTTCCCTTTAAAAGTTCCAACTTCCTCTGCCTCCCCCTTTTTGTCTCTCCTTGGATTGGCTGACAATCCACCCCCATCTCCCTCCCCCCAACTTTTCAATAAACTCCACGTGGGTTGTTGGTCCACAGTTTTGTGTTTCATCACCAATCTCTGCAGCAGAAATCTAACAGCCTGGTCTAGAACAGACAGGGCTGTTATGCAGAGAAGCCCTGTCTCAATCTCCCATACCCCCCAAAATATCTTTTTATTGAGGACCTAATGTCTTGTAGACGGCATAAGGTCCTTGTGCTCACAGAGAAACATTATGGAAGCCAGGAAAGTTAAACAGGCAGGGTTATCTCAACAGGGGAGATGTAAACCTGATTTTCACCTAGAAAACTGGGAAAGCCTGGTGGCCTGTGCTGTCTCTAGGGCCAGGCCACACTTGAATCTCCCAGACTATTGGGTTTGTTTATCCCAGACTCTTTCTCCCTAGATCCATATCTAAGGATGTCTTTTGTACATATGTTTCTTTTATTGGTTGATGAATAAATCACTATGGCCAATAGGGCAGCAAGATAGGCGGGTCTGGGAGAAGTGGAGGATTCTGGGAAGTGTAGACAGAGAGGAGTCATCATGTGTTCCTGGGAAGAGAGGAGGCGAGTCAGGCTTTCTCCAGTAAGATAAGACCGAGTGGAAATACATAGATTAAGACAGAGCTAGCCAATAAGAAGCCCTAGTCATCAGCCAACAGTTATAATTAATATAAGGCTCTCTGAGTGTTCATTTGGGGATGATGTGTCTTTGGGACCAGGCTGGCAGGAAAGAATATCCATAACAAAATGGCACCAGCAACTTGGTTGTACAAACTTCCACATAGAACCTGACAAAAACTTAAAAATTGATTTTAAAAACAAAAGAGATCACAGAGATCCACCTGCCTCTGCCTCCTGGTGCCGTGATTAAAGGTGTGCACCACCACTGCCCGGTGGTTTAGGGTTTTTCATGACAGTGAGACACAACTGCTCCTAGCAATACCAATTACTTCAAGGAGGAAGATGGGCATCAAAGAAACTTGTAATGAGGTTTGCCTTTGACATGGCAAGACTAGCCATTTGGGCAAGAAACTACTCTTATCTGGACTGTTTGACAGTGATGTATAAAATGGGCATGTAGGACCCACAGAAAAGTGACTGCGAAAACAAGATGGGACAGTGCTATAGGGTTCCTGCTTCATAAAATAGTCTGCCAAACATTCTGCAGGACACAGAGAAAAATGACTGACAAACTGCCAATATAGGTGGGACAGTTTAAAATTTCCTGCTTCACTGAGAAGTCTGTCAGACACATTGTGGCCTTATGGGCCAAAGATGGATGCTCCAATGTTACAGAGGAACTCTGAGTGCCTGACCAGGCAGTGAGATGTCTCTGTCAATTCTAGAGTTTATATATTATCCTTCTGTGGTCTTTGATGGAGTTGAAGTCAGATAGTTATGGTTATGGTTTTCCTGAGTTATGATAAAAGATAAGTTACATATAAAACTTTAGACTCACAAAGATAGGCTAGAAGATAGCGTATTTTTTTTAATTTTTCCAAATGTTAATGGACTAAATATTGTTAACTATAGTTCTTACTGTTTTGTTATATATAATTCTACTATATTAAAGTTGAAACCCTTCTTTTTCTTTAGACAGAAAAGAGGAGAAGATGGGGGATGTCCTTCTGTAAACATGTTTCTCTTGAAACATGTTTCAATGATGAATAAAACACTGATTGTCCAGTAGCCAGGCAGAAAGGTGGGGCTACCAGATCAGGAGAAGGCTGGGGAGAAGAAGGCAGAGAGAGGCCACAAAGGGATGCCATGTAGCCGCCAAAGTAGTAACAGGTCTGGGCATTCTTTGGTAAGCTAAGACCATGTGAAAATAGAGAAATTAATAGTTATGGGTTAATAATTAAGAGATAAGTATCCAGTAAGAAGCCTAAGCCATCAGCCAAACAGTACATAAATAATATCTTTGTGTGTTTATTTGGGACTAATTGGCTTCAGGATGAGGTGGAACGGAAACTTCATCTTCATAGATCCATATCTTGAACATTGCTTCTGACTCAACTGAACCCAACTTTTTTTTTAATTTTGGTTTTTCAAGACAGGGTTTCTCTGTGTAGTCCTGGCTGTCCTGGAACTCACTCTGTAGACCAGGCTGTCCTCAAACTCAGAGATCCACCTGTCTCTGCCTCCCAAGTGCTGGGATTAAAAGTATGTGCCACTATGCCCAGCTAACAGAATCCATCTTTATGGAAGAGGCCATATGTACTTGGTAAAGAGTTTCAATGTGAACATGTCTTAAGCTTTGTTGTACACATAGGATTGAGTTAATTATCATCAAGAAACTTTTTTACAGAATTATGCTGTGTTTAAAAATGGCTTAACTGCCAGGGTCAAAATCTACAAGTTTGAACCAACATAGGCTGTAAGAAAGAAACAAACTGAGCCATTTTGAATAATACTTCCATCTTAAAAGCAGAGTGAATAAAGTTTAAGTTCCCCAAACCTCCCCAGTCCTCTCTGAATAACTGACACCCTGGTTGGCAAGGTGAGACCTGAATGGTGGATAAACTGACCCACCATATTTGAGTGAACCAACCAGTGAGAGCAAGATAAGTGTACCACAGAACAATGTTCCTAGGAAAGTCCCTAATTCCTGAATCCTGATTGGTGGAAAAATGTAACTGTAACTTTGCAATTTTTGTGCCTAAATACTTGCTGAGATGAGCATTTGGGGTGCAGTCAGCTAAGTCTGTACTGTTGTCCCTGACCCATGAGTGTTTGCTGTCCAGTTCAACGAAGATCTTGATTTGTGTGGACTGCTTGGGTTGATCAGGAGCCTTGGACACCACAACAAGGTTACTAAGTCCTGTTGAACTGGATTTCATTAGTTACTCTGCCAGCCCTGGTATTTGGAGAGACACACACACACACACACACACACACACATACACATACATCTTGACAACAGATAAAAGTCTTTGGAACTATTCACTTGATAGAACTCTATTCTCTGTTGCAGATAAAATAAAAGACTCAGAGATCAATATTGGGGTTCTAGCTTCAAGCTGAAGATCAGAAAAGTAACGCAGCCAGCCACTAACTCTTACCTCTACCTCAGCTCAGACCAAAGGGGCGATTCTCAAACTGCTCCCGACTTCACTGCTCCTCAGATTCACTCAGACTGCTATGCTGTCCTCAACATGGCTATAGACTAACTCTCAGACTGAGAGCCTCTACCTTTTATAGCTCTAAAATCCTAGAATTAAAGGTGTGACCTCTGATTCACTCTCTGGTGGCCCAAGGTGGTCTTGAACTCAGAGATCCATCTGCCTTTTTCCTGAGTCCTGGGGTTAAAGGTGTGTGCCACCACTGCTCAGCTTCTATAGCTTGTAGCTGACTTTGCTTTCTGAATTCTCAGGCAAGCTTTAATAAATCACAAATAATATATCACCACAATTCTCCACCAATCCAAGGGCTATGCATGCTGTCATACACCTGAAGCCATAGCTGAGGTCTGCCGCTGTGCTGTATCTGATACTTAACATTTCCATTAATGTGTCTGAAGGATGTCTTGATTTATAACTTTTTGTTCTGTTCCATGAAACCATGGAATCTGGGTACCTAAATCTGTTTCTGAGGCCACAGACACTCAAATTTGGCTCCAGAATAAACTATTTCTCATTTCCTTTAAGAGATGTATGTTTATATCTACCCCAGGACTAAGGATGGTATGGTGACAGTCACCATGACCTCCTAATGTGCTTTGAGGTTTTTGAAATATTAATACTAACAACACGGTACTTCTGCCCCAAAGTGCAATGTGATAGTGTGTGATTTCATTTCTCTTTATATGATGTGTTGGTTAATTCTTTTAATTAATTAATTATTTAATTAATCCCAGCACTCGGGAGGCAGAGGCAGGGGGATTTCTGTGAGTTAGAGACCAGCCTGGTCTACAAGAGCTAGTTCCAGGACAGCCTCCAAAGCCACAGAGACCTGTCTCAAAACCCACCCCCCTAAAAAATACTTTTCTACTGAGTGGTGGTGGTGCAAGCCTTTAATCCCAGCACATGGGAGGCAGAAGCAGGAAGATCTGAGTGAGTTTGATGCCAGTCTGGTCTACAAGGTGAGTTCCAGGATAGCCAGGACTGTTACACAGAGAAACCCTGTCTTAAAACAATAATAACAAAAAAATTATTGCTATGTATAGATGTGTTTCAGTTAGATTTCTATTGCTATGATAGACACTAAGACCAAAAGCAGCTGGGGTGGTGGTGGGGGCATTATTTCATTGTATACCTATAATCCATCATGAAGTAAAATTTGGGCAGGAACTAGAGGCTGGAACTGAAGCAGAGGCCATGGCTTACTAGCTTGCTCCTTATGGTGAAGGGACCAGCTCCCCATTTCAGCAGCCATAACAGCCGAACACGTGCTTGTCTGACCTTGTCTTAGTCACTAGGAGGTTAGATGCCTGCCTCGTGGCAAGCAACCAATCAGAAGTTAGCTGGTGGTGCTATGCTTTACGGCTTTGGGTATGCTTTACGGACAAGTGCACAGAAGTGACGCACAGAGCATAGCAACCACCCTGGGAGGGCCTATGGGCCATATCAACCAGTTGAGCAATCAACACAGGGCAAACCCTCAAAGACTGGAGGCACACCAATCCTGAGCCTGTACATACCCCTAGACACTCCCCTTACGCTGCCCTATAAGATCTCTATGCAGACACTTCTAGCTGCATTTCCTAGCCATCTGCCATGGTGGGTGGATGAAAGACCCGAGCTAACCTGGGGTTAGCTCATTAAACAACTATAATAAAGCCTGGTGCAGTTTGCATCAAGCTTTGGACTCTGCCTGGTGATTGGGGTGACCACAGTCCTGGGCTGAGATCCTGGAGGCCTGAGCTTCCGGGGGTCTTCCATTGGCTTGTTCAACTTGCTTTCTAACATATCCCAGAATCACCTGCCGAGGGGTGACACAAACCACAATGGGCTGGGCTTTCCCCTATGAGTCATTTTTCAACAAAATGCAGCCAGGTGTGGTGGCACACACCTTTAATCCCCATGTGAAAAGTAG